GCAATATTATAAAATAAAAGAAAATTACCTGCAACTGTAGCGCATTTGACCGGTTCTGATATAATTAAATTAGGCACAGGTAAAATTATTTTCCCATCAAACCGTAATTCTGGATCATACAATCCTTCTTCAGTCTGAAAGTAACTTTCACTACAACAATTCGTATTGTAAATCTTTAAATTCCTAAATAAAAACATCATGTATAATAACGTATCAGAATAAGAAAAAATTTTCATGCACCAGTGAGGATATTTACAAGGAATTATAAAACAATGAAAAATTTCAAACACTTTAAAAATACCTGATTTTGAAAATCGACCAAATTATACAGCACCGTTTCATAGGGTTTCTTCTTGAAAACGATTACCATATCAGATATTACACTCACATTTGTAACATTTCCAAAAACCTTAAAGGAAAAAGAGAAAGGTAAACAAATTACACCAAAAATCCAATCAGTTGTTTTTAACTTGTTGGCAATAATAAAATAAAAAGTACAAAGTCTGACTTTTGAACCCCAGAATTCATGTCTACAGTGAAATCTTAATCTGCAAAGCAAACCATACTGATAGTTGCCGAACTATATTTCTTTCAGCTTGAAATTATAAGATCTTCAATTCAAATAGCTCTCGCCAAATAAGAGTAAAAAATAATAAAAAATAAAAAACCTCTTTCGTGATGCGAAAGATGCCTTTGAACTTAAGTGGATAAACATCAAAAATGCCCACAACACAATCTGTTCCTCCAGTACTGCTGCTTCTTACGCTATTCTGAATCAGCAAGCCATATAAAATAGTTTGTTTTATCGTATAAATCTCAAGTTTTCATGATTGTTTATGAATCTTATACCTGCGATAACATATTCCCAAATAAGCAAAACGTTCGACCAAGTTCATTGGGTGCTAGACAACTGTAAAATTTACACCTTTAGGATAAAGCAAACAATAACTTTAAACCATTTCTTGTCATCACTCAAACAACGCTCCGCATTGATTATTCCTCACCTATCTTCCTCCTCCCTCCCATAATAATTTCAAAAAATACGAGAAGTAAGCAAAAGTTTCAAAAAAATTTTTCTTTTTGTACTGCAATAAATGCAATCTAATGCGTATATATGTGTGAATAAAACTACAACCCGAATAAATCAAAGGTGTACGAATGTGTATGTGTATGTGTATGTATACTTACACGAATATCTGAATACATGCTGTGTAGACTTAAATAATTTAAGTATGACAAACATATAATTATAATATATATATGCAGAGACATACATGTTTATATAAACATTTGACCAATATATACAAAAAAAAAATCTCTCGAGGAAAAAATTGAAAAGAAACAAACCTAAATTTACAAGAATCTGATGGTAGTATAAACTCAGCTTCCACTAACTGACGTAGGGGATCAATGCATAATAAACGATTCTGTGTTAAAATTAGTACCCAGAATGGTGAAGAATTCGATGCTCCTTCCTGTAATACAAATTATCCTAACACAAAGATATTACAGATTGACAAAAAAAAAACTAATAGAATTTAGTGAGAATTTTTTGTCTACAATAATTACCACGGCACATGCAACAATATGTCATTATATGGTCCAATTTCGAGTTTCTTCATTTTTCATCTACATATCGCCAAATGCTCATAAAACATATTACGAATAAGGAAAAATAATTACACTCACTTTAAGTTTATTCAGTACATAATAATTCACATTGAATAAATTTCGAATTTTGTTAACTTTATAATAAATAAAGAAACTCGAAACTTTAAACTTATAAGGAAGTAATATTCAAAAACTTCCAAAGCTCTTTGTCATACTTTAAAAGGCTACAAATAATCGTAAACAAATTCGTCCAGATTAATCGGAACATATTGTTCAAGAAATAAGAGATTTAATGATGAAAAATACTACATGATATAAATATAGACCTGCAAGTCAACAACAAGTTCAACCCAAAGTGTTGATAAAATCTTCTCCGTTTCGTCTAGCATATCCAGTCGGCATAATGGTTCCAAAATATCAATGTTATAGATCTTGCGCGCTTTATGTGCAACCATCAAACCTCTGTATTTGATAAAAATATGAACTAAAAAATCTTTTATTTATTTGAAAAAAAAAAAGAGAAACACTTCCCTCAACTGCCTTCTTAAAGCTTATTTAGAGCCATATCACATTTCCTATTAGACCAATTAAATCCTATTACATCAATTCTTTTAAATCGCAGTATGAAACTTACCCGTCGACGTTAAGAAAACCCTTTGCATTGTGCTTTTCACATAAGACATATCTCCGATTATTCTACAAAATATAATCAAAATAAATATTAAACCAGCTAGAAATTAAGTAGGTCAAGCAGACAAGGCTTAGAAAAGCATATCGCTATTAAAAGGTATTCCAACGTAAAAAAAGAATAGTTTCTAAGTCTATGAAATGAGCTTTTTCCGGGAACTAAATAGCAAGAACAGTGAGCTATATTTAAAATCTCATAAACGACCATAAACAGTGTAAAATAGTCACATGCTGGACAAAATTTAAAACATAATTTCTATATTATTAAATCCTATACTACCAAACAATCCAGACCGAAAAACAACAAAAAACATGCCGACATAATGAGTGAACGTAAAGCATTTCTACCAAAACTACATTGAGTTCGCTGAAGCCCTAATTCACGTCGAACGATTAATCGTGCTATAGATGGCTGTTTCAATACTTCTACAGGATTTTTCTCACTTCCAGTATCCAAACATGATAGTAATCGACGTGATAGCTAAAATATTGTTACACTTCACTGCTTAGTAATATCATTTAAAAGTAAAAAGCAAAAAGTTTCTCATAAAAATAAATAATTGAAATGAGAAGAAAAGAAGAAGATTTAAAACAATTTTAATTATTTCATTCGAAATTACACTCAAAGTCACATAATTTTAAAATTTTCAATTCATAATCTTTTCACGATTATATAAAACAGTAAAAATTGTATTTCAATATGATGTAAATAGAAATGTAAACACAAAATTTACCTCAATGTAACCATCATCATCATTCGGCCGATGAGTATTTCTTGATTCCACATTCATTAAACGATTCAGCAAACGATTTGCAAGCGATGATGTCACCATCGTTTTTCACTTTTATAATTTACCTTTTCAAATCTCAGTTATTCCTTCAAACAAAACAAAATATTTGCATATCAAATTTTAAATTTTATTTTAAATGCAAAAACTCATATGAATCATGCACTTCCATATTACTCTTTCTAATCCAACCACTCAAAATCTCACTAAAAATCCCGGTAGTTCTCGTTAGCTACCATTCACGTATTCCCTTCTATTCTCCCGCGTTTCCGTGTCCGTCTAAAAAGGACGCGGTCCTATAGCGTACGTAGAATGAAATAAAATAATCTCAAATTGTACAACGTATTTTCGTGTTGGATAAAATTAAAAAAGTAATAATTATAATAATTATATGCATTATTAATTTAAAAAAAAAGATTATAATTCTTATTTCAATGAAAATGATTTCGATTTAATAAACAATATTTCATACAATAATAATAATTTAAAATCATTGCTTCGTCATTTTTTTGTTTTTTTGTCATTTATACAATTAATGAATTTTCAAAAATTTTCCATTTTTTCTTTTTAATCAAATTAATTTTTTCAATTTTTTATTGTAATAAAAGTTTTCAATATTTTGTTTTTTGTTTTTTATTCAAAAATTCTAATAAAAGAAGAATGATTGTAATTAAATGAAGCAATGATTATTAAAATTTTTATTAAATTACTCAAATTTTAAAATACATTTTTTAATTAGTTGATTAATTAAAATATATAATTGAGGAAACAAATTGTTTATTAGTATTATCTTTGTAATAATTTTTACATTACTAAAATACAATTGGTAATGAATTGGATTTGAAAAGAAGGAAATATTCTTTAAAAAATATTATTTAAATTATTTTATTAAAAAATGATAAAGTATATAAGAAGCATCAAAAAAGCATATCCTTATTATTGTTTTTTATTATTATTATCATTATATCAATATCATTTACCACTACTGTATATATTATTTATTTATTAATTATTATTATTATTACTAATTAATGAGAATAATTAAAATCGTAATTTTTGATATGTAAACAAAGCATTCATTGATAAATAACTGTAAATTAAATGTGATATGAGAAGAGAAAGATGGAAAAGTATGAAATACATAAATTTGATTGATAAGAGATTAAAAAAAAAAAAAAAAAAAGATTATAATATCTCTTTTCTGTTAATATTTTTATTCCATACTTTTGCCACTTTATCTTTATTTAAAATTTGTTCAACAAGAACAAAGATAAAAATTAAAAGTTTTTTTTTTTAAAAAAACAAGAAAGAAGAGAAAGAAGGGGAAAAAAAATAATACTTTTGCAATTAATAGATGTGAAAAAAAAAAAAGAAAAACAATTGAAAAAGAAATAATTATCAAATTTTAGTAATATATGATAACGTTGTGATATGTGATAACGATTTTATAGATAGAAAAAAGGTAATATTAGCACTGATAATATTGTTAATATCATTCATTAATAAATAGATATTAAATGCTTTTATTTATTTTAATTTGTAATTAATTCAGCTTTTACATAATTAAAACTTAATCCACCATTTTTACATTTCAATTAATTTTCTTTTTAACATTAATTAATCTGATATTAATTAATTTTTTCTAAAATTAAAATAATAATAAGAAATGATTAATGCAAAATGGTAATCAATAAAAAAAATTTTTAATTTATTTTTTTTGTTCACGAAATTATACAAAGATGAAATTATTAAAGGTTAAAAATCAGAAAAATAGGAAATGATTCTGTTTAATGTATGAAATAATATTTGTATTTTAAAAAAACAAAAAAAAATTTTTTGATAAACAAATTCAAAATTGCATTATCATTTGTTTATCACTTAATCATCCAATGTTTGAGCTATTTATTATCATTTTCAATTGTTTACTTCATTTGGCTTTTGTTGCTGCAACGAATAAATTTTGATTTATAAAAATTAAAGTATAAAATTTGATGATTTCAACAATTTTATATATACAATTATGTTAATTAAAAAATTAAATTCCATTTATATTTTTTAACTTTTCCCACAATTCAATTTTCTATGCTAATTTCAATTTTTTTTTCTTTGCTTTTTACATTTTAGTTTAAATCACATTAATTTGCTATTATATTATCCAATATGTTTAATATCTTTTTTTTTTTTTGCTAAACAATAATTTATTAAATTAATTAGTTGTCTAAAAATTTAAATCTTTTCCACCTGTAATTTAAATTATTCTTCATTGTATTAAGAATAAAATCAAAATTTTAAATACTTTTTTTTTTGTTGTTGTTGTTGTTGTCATACAAACAGATTGTTTTGATTTATTTTCTTCATTATGTAATGTAATTGAACTGGATGATGTATTACTGATAAATACTTCATCTAATGTTTTTGATATTGTTAGTATATATGTTTGCATTTTACTGCATTCCTCCTGCAAATTTAATTTTTTTCTTCCTTTATTCTAATTTTTTTAATTAATCTTTATGAAATAATTTCAATTTAAAAATTTAAGAAATTAAATTGCAACCATTTCACCAATACTACTTATCATCATTTAATTTAGCAACTTTCCCTTTTTTTTTTAATTTTTATTTCAGATTATTTTTTAAAATCGTATTAAAATCACTTATATCAATAACAATTGGTCATCTAACATAAATAAATAAATACATAATGCTGAAAAAATATTGAGAAAATATGTTTGAGAAAGGAAAAAGTAGACTAAACCAATTTCTATGATATATTTTGATCGTCAGATAAGTTTTAATCGATATGTTTATTAATCAGTTAATCAGTCAACTCAATCAATCAGTCAACTAATCATTTAAATTCTAAGATTCCACAGGTTGACTATTGTCTTTCTGTAAGATAATTAATTAATTAATTAATTAATTAATTAATATGACATCACAAATACTCTAGCTTGTATATTTCGTTGTTTACAACGTTCCGCAGCATAAATCATTTCAACTTCGCGATCTTTCATTGCTTCAAATATTCTCAACAATCGTTGATTCACTTTTATCCAATCAATCATCTTTCTTTCCATATCCATATTTTCTTGTTCTAACATTTTTATCTGATCATCCTAAAATTAATATTAATTTATTGATAAAATATTTTAATTACAATCTAATTTAATTATGTATTTTTAAGCAAAAAAAAAAAAGAAATATTAATTTTATTTTATTTCTGCAATATTAGCCAATAAATTGAATAAATGAATAAAATGAAAAAAAAAAATTATAAAAGAGAAACAACAATAATAATAATAAAATAAATTCGATCAATAAAAAAAGTTACTTTTTAAATTTTTTGAGTAAAAAAAATAAAAGAGATAAATTACTTTATAAATTTTTTGAATATTATCATTTTGCCATCTACCAATTATTTTTCGTTTATGCTCAATAAGTCGATATGTATAATCAATTTGTTTCTCAATTATTTTCACTTGTTCAGCATTTTCTATTAATCTTTTATCAGCAAGAATTTTCTAGAAAAATTTGAAAAAATATTTTAAATTGAATCCAAATAATTAAATGAAATTTTTTGCTTTGATGAAATTTATTAAAATAATTAAAATTTGTGCACAAAATTACTGGCAGTTATTATTAAAAGATTTAAAAGATATAGATAAGATGATAAAGTAAATTATTAAAAAATATAATATAGATAAGCTGAAAATTGAATTTTGAGTTTTGTCTAAATTTGTGTGCAAAATCTCGAATCTTTCATAAAAACAAAAAAAAAATCATAAATTCTAATTTCAATCAAAAATAATATGTAATGTTTGTATTTGTTTGAAAAAAATTTTTTATTATCTTAAAAAAAAAATGGTACCAAATTTTATTTTATTTTTTAAATTCTATCATATTTTTTTGTTATCAATCTTTCGCTATGAAATTTTAACATTTTGAATTAATTTCAAAAAAAAAACAGGAAGACATCAATTTTTTACCTGTCCATTTTCACTTTGCCATAATTGTGACCATTTTTCGGCTTCAAATGCAATTTCATCCTTAGATTGAATCGAATGTTTCGCAAAAATCATTTTCCGACTAATTTCCTCCATTAACTGAATTATTTTAAAATTCATTGGCATTCGAATTGAATACTTTCAGTTTATAATTTTCCATTAAAATATTCAAAAGATTGAAAATACAAAAAAAAAAAAAGAAATAGCAACCTGATTGGATTGTTGAATTAAATTTTTATTCTTCTTTTGAGTAATGTAACGTGAATTTTTCAAATTTTTTAATTTTTCCTTCAATAATGTTGCTACTTTTTCCAATTCACACACTTAAAAATATATAAATTTGAAATTTGAAATTATTAGAAATATGAAATTAAACAATAATTCGTTTTAAATTGGAAGAAAAATATCATCACTGCAAAATAATTTTAACACAAAATTACTTCTGATTTCTTTTTTTTTTTTTTTGCATGATTGAATAATTTAATATTTTGAAAAAGTTTTCCTTCAAATGATAACAGTATTGACAATGTTGATAATGATGATAACTGATAACGATAACATTAATTAAATATATACCTTGATGTGTGGAATATGAATGTTTTACATTTTTCAAATGATAATTATAGATCAAATTTTTGCTATTATATTTTGAATCCATGGAACATATTGAACATGAACAATGATTTATTTGTGATTTATCGAACATTATTAGATTTATAAAATTATCAGACAAAGTTTAACCTAGCAGTAGAAATATCGATTAGTAAATCATAGATCATTAATAGTAAGAAATTATAAAAATTAATAAATTACAAATTTATTATATTTAGAAATAGTTTAATTCTATTGATAGCTCATAATTCTATTTCAAATTCTATCATAACTGTTACATTTGTTTCTTTTCTTTTTTTTTTTTTTGATTTTCAATAAAAATTGAAATTCAACACATCAATAGTCTATAAAGTTTATCATCTTTCAGTCTAATTAATGATAAAAAAAAAAATCACTTGTTAAAATATCACAAATATACTGATAAAAATTTCCTTCTATAATTTCCAATATCAAAGATAAAAAAGAAATGATAACGTAAGCTGATGAAGACAACCGTTCTAACACGTTCAAATCAATTAATATTGCACTTATGCAACATAAATTATTTCATTTAAATTTAAATTTAACTCCTACAATCTTGCTAGAATTTCAAAGATGACATTTTTTATCTCATATATATCAATCCAAAAAAAAATTAATTTTTAAAAAGAAAATTTGGAAAGTAATTTATGAGTAATACTTAGTCTTTTCTTTTCTCTTTCTCGTAATGTATATGCTATGTTGTATTAGAAAATATAAGTGTAACTTAGAACTAGTAGTAAATGATACTGAACAAAAAAATCGATTTTAAAGAAGTGTTTGGAACAACTATTTTATATACTTTTATGATTATTGTTTGTTTAAATGAGAACTACATCGACATACCTTTGGAATATTATGCTGTAAGTAAAATGTAGATCAATAATTGCTCGTTTATCAATATTTGCAAAGATATTTATCAAAAAAGCGATTCATAAAGGAACTGAGATAAATAATAAAAGCATACACGAACACAGACAGGATATGTGTGAGAATAAAATGTCGAAATTAAATCTTATTAAATGTAAATTGAAAACTTACATGACAATATTAACAAATGTCTAGCTATATATAAATGCAATAATGATTAATTAACAGATTAAATATTCTATATAAACTTCTATTTAATGATTAATTAACAGATTAAATATTCTATATAAACTTCTATTTAATTTAATTAACAGATTGAATATTCTATATAAACTTCTATTCTTCTCAATTCAACCTGTTTATCTAAAACTACACTTGTAGGATGAAATGTGTTATTATTTTTTTTTTTATTTTCATTAGCTGATACACATTAACAAATATTTTTTTCAGAGATTTTATTAACTAATAGCAATTTCATTAACTAACAGATAAATTTATTTTAACTGGAAACACTTTCGGGAGTTTTACCAATCATGCTAACATGTTTATGCTTTTGGTTATACGTTTCGATAAATTTTTGTGAACCGCCTGCTACTATTTCATTTCCATTCATCAATTTTGCTGGTACTGGAACCGATAAAATTTCTGGTATCATCCATGGTTTCAACCATCCTACTAAAATTCAATTCAGTGAATTTTTTTTGCTTTTTTTTTTTTGCATTTTTTCACTTCAAAGAAATCGAACTCGATCACATCATTAATTACATGTATCAAAAAAAAAAAACAGATAATACTAAAGCATTGCAAAATACATTCTCCTCCAAAAATTTAGTCAACTAAACTATCCAAAAAGTTTGTAGCCTAGAAAAATTGAATCAAATAGAATAATTATATGAACTATATAAGATAGCTACATATCTATAGCATTATAATTACAAGGTATGACATACTAAATGAATTGACCAGTTCTCACAATTCTATTAAACATAGTAATGAAATGAAAAAGTAACAAACCAAGTGGACTTTGACCTTTAAGGTAATGCACACTAGCATGATAAAAAAGAACACCGTCAATTTCGAAGTGAAAATTTCGATGCATCATTTCTGTCATGGAACTATGTTCACAACGACAATATGGAAGACATATAAAACGATACTGAAATGTATCTGAAGTTAAATTACATTTAACCAGTATACAATACTAATTCATATATGAAATTCATAATGGATAAAAGTCAATTTCAAATATTTAGAAATGAAAAATTTGAAATCAAAAGTTAGCTGCTAAATACTAACAGGTATTTGCTTTGAGATCTCATGAAAATTCTCATTTTCACTTATACGCGAATTCATCATGAATAAACGGCAATCAAAATCCGAATCAGCAACTGTAAGGCTATTCCATGCAATCATATCCAAACAATAGAATGTTGATGATTTTGCATCAAAAACACAATCCAAAAGAGTATACGCACCTATGTAAATACGAGCAAATAAAATTATTTCAGGAAAAATTTTATAACAACATCATTATATTGATGAAAATTACTTCTATAAGATCCAGATGATGAGACCTGGTGAAACTTGAGCTATATTTCATCTATACATATCGACTCACCACGACAAGGATGATTTCCGCCCGGAAGATAAGAATGAAATTGTGTAATGAGATAACCGGATTTCGAATAAGCACTTGTTACTCCCTGCAATAATTAATTGAACATACTAAAATCTTCTCTTTGTATTCTTCTCTTCGTAACAGATAAAATGAATTGTAGCAAAATTTTAAATGATAAGTTACGCAAGATTACGAAGTAATTCAAACTTCTCAAAGATTATCAAAATAAGTTACATGTGATAAAAGACTATCTATGAAAAAATATTACACTAATTCAAAGATAATTTCAAATAATTACAAAATGATAGCATGAATTAGAAATACCACTAGTCGTACTCAAAAAAAAAATTGCCTATGATTATGGAATATGTAAAAATAACTTTTCAACATATATAATGACAACATAATGAGTTTGAAATTTCATATCGGAGGTAAAAAAAAAAAAACTATATCAGAGTAAGATACTTTTTTAAAAAAATATAAAGCAAGTGTAAACTATGATTTTAATTTTACATTAACTACAAATGAAATGATGGAACAATTATATTAACTACAAAAAATGAATTATCAAATAATCTTAACAGCTTTCACAATGATATAATCACATACATTAGATGCGACCACAAGACATCGTTTACCAACCGGACACGGTATACAAATCCAATCCTTGGATAAACTCTCTGGAATATCCACCAACCATTCACTAAGCATTAGTTCATCTGCATAACGATTGTAATTCCTTTTTCGATTCATCTTCTTACTATTTTTATCAGGCACTAAGTCCATTTCTTCATCCTCTTTATCTTCCTCATCTTCATCAAATTCGCTCATTGCCAATTTTCGTGCATGATTTGCATAATCAAAACGAGCTCTATAAATGTCATGAAATTAAAAATACCTACAACTTTATAAGATGTAGACATTAACAAATTTTTATTTCCACAAAAGCAACATATTCTTTTTGCTATAGAGGGAAGTAGTATTTTAATTTAATAACGAACGTTAAACAAATAATTTAACTTCACCTAAAATGTAAATTTTTTTCTATATTCAACAAATATAAAAGACATACTCTTTCTGGCGTTGAAGAAACTCTTGTCGTCGCCTTTCTTGACTTACTTCTGCTCGTCCAATATATTTGTACTGCGAAAATCGTGGATGCTCTCGTACCGTACTATTTGGCGCAATAGTTACTGAACTACCAGCCAATAAATGTGCCAAATCATCCATATTATCCATTTCCCTGGAAAAGAAAATTTATACTTGTATTAGCAACGATTAACTTTATCATCAAACATGGATATTTTAAGTTGAACTAAGAATATTCAAATATATCTGCGCCGTATCTCAATCACCTCTATTCAAGCAGTCAAACACATATAAACGTACCACCGATTGATTGTATAACAATCGTTTATATCTTTTTCTTTCTCTTTTTCTTCGAGATATTTCATCAAATATTTATAAAATAATCCATGCTAACAAAAGCAAAAATGAATCATTTATTGAAAACTTCTTACATATAATACCTTCTTACATGTAATAGATTCAGCAACAACAATAACAACAATCAGAGGAACACATATCCAAAACTTTAGACGTAATACAAACTTATTTGGATGAACTGTGACATAAATTCAAAAATAATGGTGACATGAGTTAAAAATAATAAAAACTAAGTCGCAATATTATCACCCATCTTTATATTGTGTCAATTTCTTCTAATTAAATAGCGTATGAAAATGCATTAATCATTCAAAAAAAAGAAAATAGTTTATAAAAGCACTTTTTTTTAAAAAAAAAAAAAAATCAGAGTCATGTGACAAATAATACAACTAGAATTCAACTTGTCGTATTCTTTTCGTCTTTAGTAACACAATGTTCGCTCACATTGTAAACAATGCCATGACCAAGTATTGTAAAATCATCCAATATAGCTTTTGTATTAACTATTAACTTATTATCTGGTCCCTTTAACCGATGTAAACAACTGGATATCTGCAAAGCAAATTATAGTGAGACACTAATTGAATGTTAAAAACAATCTCACATCAACAATAATCTAATTACTCAACAATATATTCTACAGCTTAACAGCTTAATGATAAATGAAAACATTAAATTGCAAATAATTTTGGCAATCATTCTTAAAGAATACGAATAACATACGCTAGCATCTCGTGGTATTAATGCAGCTGGCTTCCATACCACTCCGATCACATCACCTACGTATTTGTTGTAGAAGAAAAGAGCAACTGAAGAGAAACATTGCCGCAAACGCTTTATATAATCCCTAATTGGATCATAATCAATTACTGGTAATGGTCCATTTATTAATTTACCATGAATTACTTTTTGTCGGACCATATGTCGTCTTCTGATATGGATAGTAACATTACAGAAAGTGGAAACATTTGTTGTGAATAATCCCTATAAATAATAAGACAAGACTAAACGATTATTTTAGGGATGTAAATATAATTTAAAAATGATATGATATCAATCAATTATTTCAGAGATAGAAACATAACTTTTTAAAAAAAAAAAAAAAACGAATGAGGAAAAGGAATCTAAGATATTAATAAAAAAAAATCCAAAAATAATGGAGAGTGAGATGATTGTGTTCAACGTTATTACAATAATGACTTCAATAATATAGAGGAAAAAATAAATAAATAAATAAAAACCTTTAAATTTAACGGCAACGAATTATTGATATGTTGTTCAATTAGTGCTGCTGATGCTTTGGCGAGTGCAATTATTCGTTTCAAGATCAATGGTTGTGGTTCCTCTCTTGTCCATCTAACAAGGAAAGAAAAAAAAAAGCCTATTTCTATCTGCATTTTGTTTCAAAAACAAATAATCATTGATTTTTATTGATTAATTGAAATTGATGTAAGAAGTGTGTCTGTGACATCAAAATTTATTATTTGAATCTCATTTTAATTAAACTTATCGCAAATATTGAAACAATCACAAAACTGATAAAAATAAAAGTGAGAGATATTTGAAATCGACAATAACTTACCGGCAACCACTCCTATCAACCGACGTACAAATCACCATTACAGGCAATACCGGTCTCATTTTGATAAACTCTTTTTGTATTTCATCTACATCTTCCTCTAAAAAAAAAAAACATAAATTCAACATCATTCATTCCAAGAGGATTTCTGAAAAACGGCTAATGAATATGTTCAAGGTGAAAGTTCTAAAAACGAATAAAAATGTAGCAAACCTGTCCAATTGTTGTCGAAATCAACAAGTAACGGCTTCACTAACCAATTATGCGTAGAAAGCAATATTAGAAAGTGAAAGAAACCAACGAATGATGTTCTAAAAAAATGAAAACACTATAAAAATTTAAAAAAAAAAAAATAAAACTCAGCCATACTTTTATTAGATAGTCTCTATCGACTTCATTTTACTAATAATTATGAAACCAAACAAAAAAAAAAAAGTGAAACAAAAAACAAAAAACAGAAAAAAAAGAACCTTGGTGGTTCAATTGAGAATGGTTTAAGAAATATAGAAGCAACTATAGTTTCCAAAATTACTTCGCTTAGATAATCAGATAATGCATGAGATGATAACCAATACATCGCTAGACGACATGTATTAGCGAACGCATCGAATTGTTGGCTTACACTGGAAAAACATTCGTTAAATGAAGCATACAATATTATTATTAGCAAATTTAAAACAATCGAACAGATTATTTCGCTCTCAATGCGATTTAATAGAAAAGCAAATAATTTATTTACCGTACATAATACTTCAAATTTTCTTTATCCTCAATGTCCAAAATTTTCCGTTCAAAATTATGAATTATGGTTTTGGCCATATACTCAAAGCATTCTTATAAATTAGCCAAGGCATAGATGTTTTTTTTTCTTTCATTCTACATAAAATTCGACGCATAATCGACTAAATCGAAGGTATTAATACTTACCTATGTAATAATGAAGTAATTTGAGGTTCCAGTATTAGTTCCAACTCTTTCAATTTTGATGCTGGACTATCTTTTAGAATACCTGTCTTACCACCATTTAATTTCCTCATTATATGCACTTCTTTCGGATAGTTTATTACCAAACGAAATACTACAGTATTCTGAAATATATAAGGATAGTGAATATTTAATGAAAGCTAAACATTGCAAGGTTTATTTCTAATTCGTAAGTAATTCCAATTATCTTAATGACAAAATCATACTTACAAAATGAACAATTAAATAATCATCGAAGGGAATAGCTTGCATCGAATGTTTCTCCTTTAGTATTTTTGACAGCTCAATATAAAAGGCAGTCTTAAGGCGTGCAATAGCTCCCAGATCATCGCCCCATTTTCCACTTTGTTCCATTGTTATTTGCACTAAATATAGAACTAATCATATTTTGATTTGAAAAAAAAAAAAGATGAATAATTATATAAATTTTAGTCTTTTTAAAGGAATAATGCATTAAAAGAAATATCTCAAAATTAAATTAAAACGCTATTTGGTAATGGAAAATAAAAACCTTCTATAGTAGGCAAATAAGGAGGTGAAATATGTGACAACGGAAGTGCTACAGAATCTTTAACGACGGCACTGTATCTTTCGATCACTGCATTAGTAGAGAGAGGTGGGTAAGGCTGTAAAGGAATTTTTACAAAAGATATAATATAAAAATATTTATCTGAAAGTCAATTATGGAATACATAAAATTAAATACAAATTTAAATTTAACATTCAATATGCAAAATATCTTGCTGACATAAAAAATGAATAAAAAGTTAAATTTTATTACTACAAACTTTTGAGAAATATCACTGTAAAACTATTTCAGACTGCAAAAATATTGAAACTTTGATAGAAATGTAGTCCTTCAAATTGAAATAGTGCCCATTATTCAGCTGATACAAATTAATTCTAATAAAATGTAAAAAAAAAAAAATCAGAAGTGAAAAATAAATGAATGGTACCGCAGTTCGTCTCAGATAAGAGGATACAGGATGGATATTTGTTATAAGAAGAGGTAAGCCTTGCACTAGTCGAAGTGTTTGAGATAATTTATCATAAGCTCTTCCGATTGTACTATATCTGTCCATTGCATTCGGTAAGATTTCTTCCATTTCTAACGTACGCTCTTCTACATTATTTGCTTCTAATTTTAAATGCCTAAAACTATCTACAATATATAAAAAATCAATTATCTTAACATATATATATATATGTTAAGATAATTGATCAATAACTAAATTAAGGCGTACTTTCCATCCATAATGACAGAAAATACAAACTATCCACAATAATTATAATTAAAATATATGATAAAATAGCATGTAAAAAAATTAACCTCTGAATAATATGTTGGCAAATGAGCACAGTAACATTACTGGAGCCCCAGACAACTGCTTCACAGATTGCATTGTCTGGGAACTTTCGCAATTCACAAATATCACCCCAGAATTGACGGAAATGAACTGCATCCGGTGATTTAGCTGGCGGACCGCGTGTCAATAAATTATTCCACTTCGACGAAAGTTGAAATCCAATTAGTAGTGTTACATTCTCATCCGTACATTTCTCTCGTTCCATACATACGTCCCACTGCAACCAAGGATTATGCTATTTTCAGAAATGGTTTTTAATAAAATATCAGATTCGTTTTTTTTTTTTTTTTTTTGGAATTTTCCCTATCACACAAATCAAGTGGACCTTTAATACATATTCTTCGACTTAATAATTCGAAAAAACATAAATGTATGATCAAAACTGCAACATTTACCGGTGTGACCTGTTGATCTGGTGCAAAAAAATCGAAATTCACAATTCTATCCGCAAAAGCCTCTTTCAGCAGTGGAGTTAGCCTGCGTTTAAATATAAGCAATAGATCGTTACAAGTGCTTACACACTCTGCACTGCACGTTTTTTGAAAAATATTTTGCAGATATGTTTGAGGTAATCGTATCCTTAAAAAAAATTTTTTTTTTTTTAAACAGTTATATAATATTGGACACGAAATGAAGTAAATATAGAAACAAATTTTTCCCAAATAGAATACCTAATGTACTGATCAAAAGATGTAGTAAAAGGATGATTTTTCACAAAAAGATGATCAAATTCATTGAAGATATCAATCTTTGTTAGAGCATTTGTAGCAGCAGCACGAATTTGCTCCATAGCAGTGATGCTCAAAGATGTAGCCAAATTGAGATATCCTGTATGATCAAGGAATACGAAATCGAAATGTGATGAGAACTGTGAATGTAACGCATCATTATCACATAAACCCAAACGAGATTGTTGCCAGTTTACTGATACTAAAATTTATAATTTTATATAAATAAGAGAACTTCATTTTTTTTAATACATTAATATCTTATAACTATATCATTTAAAAAATGCACATTTTTTCTACCTTTTTAAAATAATACATTCTTTCTTTTCTATTTAATTTGTTCCTATTTATACTTATTATTTTAAAAGATGATCGAAGATCAAACTCACTGATAGATGAGAAAAATCCTGTGATGATGTCGAAAACAGATGCCTGAGCGAAGGAAACTTCTTGGACGCTAATGTATATAAGCCAAGCTGCTAATAGCAAATCCGAAAAGCCATCAACTCTCTGGAATTAAAAGAAAAAATGCGCAAAAATATTTTAAGTACATATCCTTCTGATCTCGAATATATAATGATTTTAGAACTAGGATGAATTTCGACAAAATCAGAAAAACGGAAGAAAAATCAGTTACCTTTGTTATGTGTCATCCTTAAATCAAAAGATGAAATATCTGCCCTTAAACAATATTGCTTGAACTAATTTTTGATAAGAAACACAATAAAGGATAAGAAGTAGAGGAATACCTGAATGAAATTTCTTTGAAGCATCCACGAACGTATCATAATGAAGGCTTTTAAAAAGTTTGGTTTTTGACGAAAAAAAGCTTCATACTTGGATTCAATTTCTTCGCGTAACATATCAATTAATATCTTTGAATTATAAACCGGTGTAGGTGTATCGATACCTACAATAAATCATTTACTATTTCCGGAATGGCAAATGAAAGCAATTGATCTAATCAACAGCTCGACAGTTCGAATATGATTCTAGAATACAATTCGTGCTTTCCTTCTTTATTTTATTTTCTGTCTTTTCATTTTCCTTTTCTATTAAATCTGATCAACAGTGACTTTTGTAAAATAAACTGTATTCACTGACCGAGAGATCCGAAGTGAGCCGAACAAAAAGCGGGCCTCAAATTATTATTTTCTGGACGAAGTCGAGAAATCTTTGTGAACTCACGTGGAGGAGCAAAATGAATTCGCAAGAATCCATCGTTTTCATGTCCTGAAATGGAACGAATCTCAGTTAGTTATGATGAGAAATTATTTAGAATTTCTAATTCAAAACCTCAAATTCTAAAACTTTTCAAAACATAGAAAAACTCCTTTTCTTTTCGACGTAAAATGTATTAATTACAATTAAGAAGAGAAAAAATAAGGCACCGTCTTTGTTTGCTACAAACAATAAGGGCTTCAATGTGTCGCAATGATCCAATCCAAATTTTACTGATAACCCTGTTTTTATCAAAATCCGTGCCACCTGGCAAATATAGTGAGCACGTTTGACAAAATATGCAAAATTAAGATAATCACGTGAGCCAAAATAATCCTGAAACATTCACAAAATATCAAAATGCAACATTTTTTACTGAAACAAAAAAAAAAAAAATCAAAAAAATGCACAACGAAAAAGCATAATGAACCTGAGGTATAATAATGATGAGATCCAAAACGGGATCCATTTTTGTTTGATAACAAATACGCCAACTACCTAAGCTATCGATTTTAACCGGATGAACCCAACGACAACCACACGTTGATTTAATACTACTTAATTCCAAATTAAAAGGTAATGACAGTGGAAAATGAATTTTGCCTAAATGTAATTTCTGCAGATCGTTCATCTGAAATGTTTAACAGCAATTAGATGTCTCTACGCAAATAATGTGATAAGATGAAAATTTAAATTCATTATTTGATAACAGTTATCGATTTGTGATATTTGGGAACGAGAAAAAAAGAATGCGCATAACTTATTGGGTTGCGTAGTTCCTTAATCTATCCCCAAATAATCTTACAAATGGCTTATAACTAAAAATTTACATAACCAACCTGATGAGCAATTTTTGCCTCCTTACTTGCATAAATAGCACTCTTGACAGTCTCAGCTAATGCCTCCAATTTACATCTTTCTGCGTCAGCTAATTTGATCTCTTCAATGTGATCATCAATTTGCATGCATATTAATCGCCGCTTTTCACGTTTTCGATCAATTTGCTCCAATGCATCATCACCCTTACGTTTCATATTTTTTTTTTCCAAAAAAAAACAAAATAAACGATACGAATTGGTAGGATCAACTGTTTGTATTATTTGCTTTCTCCAACAAATGAACACATCTCTAACACATCTAAAACTAACCTGTTAAGTAAAAAATATACTTCAATGATTAATTAAAAATGATATGCTAACTCATCAATCACCAATACATAGCAAACGAATTCGATCGAGCTAATATTAAATTAAGCAGATGATTTTTGAGTTAATATGAAGCATGCAAATATGCACTCTTTTCAAAGTCACAGAGATTAGACTTGTACGATTTACCTTGAAAAAATTAAATACGTTTAAGTAGTGGGAAAACCCACTCATTTCAGGCAAATAAGAAACGTTCAAATTTGACATAAACGAAAATGATTCATGGAATCTCTTATAATAAGATTCTTTCTTTTCATGATAAAAATATATAACGGATTCTCCATATACAGGTTAATAAATAGTTATTTGATAGCAAATTTTTTTACTCAATTCTTGCTGATAAATTCACAACATACATGGACTAAAAAAATTTTACAATAGCTTTCAAGAATTATATCCAAAGCTCGATTCGTGTCGAAACATCTATTCAAGAAAACATATAGTACAAAAATATGGTCAAACAGCGAGGTTTTTTGCAAAAATTGAAAACTACAAAATTGGTAAACATATATTTGCAAAAAAGTATGCGTGACAGAATATTTTAACATTATGTGTTATAATTTGCATGAAATATGCAATAAAATAGAGTGAAAAGAGATACTCAGATTTAAAGAGATGCAACAATGAAATAACAAAAAAAAAAGTCCATGTAAAAAAAAAAAAAAAAAGAAAACAATACATGGAAGCAATGCATAAGCTAAGATACCAGCTTTTCAATTATTTTTAATCAGAAATAAAGAAGAAACAAGATTGTTCAAATATACAGCAATGCAATAAAGGTGAACAAATGACCATCCTTTTCATAACATCATAGAACAACATAACAATTCAATTAAGTGATATCATTCAAGTTACAAATTTCACAAGCAAAAAATCAAATGATACACTTTCACATACCTCTAGAGCCCGTACTGCAATAACTAAAAGTCCTAACAATATAAGAAAAAAAAGGCAATCCTTACTGTTGTGCACTTTTCCGGTGGTACTTGTGACAGGCTCGGAAGGTACATATGAATCAATATCACAATAATTCGAGATCGAAATCGAATAATGGCATTTTGCACATACGTCTCCACAAAATTCTAGTTTGATAGAAGACAATTTTCATTTACTGCATTATAATATAACCTTAGCAAGCTTCATTCAAAAAAGTACTGGAAAGAAAAATCAAATAGCAAAATAACTTTAGCAGCTCCAATCCAACTAAATTATTTTGTTCGCCGACCATAGGTATATATCATTCTAATTTATATTAGAGCTATGAGGAAAAGTTACTCTAAGGATAAACTATGAGTTCTGAAGTAAACGAGAATCGTCTGATGACTGCCGACTATGTGCAGTGCTCGGACGCCGGAAAAATCGCGTATTCACTGATGGCACCTTTGGCAATGATGAATTCACAAATAAGGCAAGTAGTACCATTAACGATCCGAAAAAAAATGGTGGTCCTGGGATTAACTTCTGGAATTATCTTTAATTATCTTTATTTATTTCCATAATAATATTTTAATTAATGCACAATAGAATCTGATAATATTTCCAGGCCTCTTTGAATTTTATACTTTTTCGAGACATTGCAGATTCTTATTAACACTTACCCAGTTAAATGCTGGTTTGTCAAATGAAGTTGCATTTCGACGCGGTGAAATAATTGGTTGAACTCGAATGCGAGGTGCCGGAAAAGGGGGTATTCCAATGTGACCCGTACCATCGTTATCCACATTTAAATCCATATCAAACAAATAAAATATAAAACCGAATAGAGCTGGGCCCAAACCTAAAAGAAGATACACATGTAAAATGAAAGTTATAAATAAAAGATAGAAGAGGAGCAAAATTTTCAGACATTTCTACGGTTTCATTCTTCACTACTTTCATGTCCACCTAACTCTACGTGTCTTTGGTGCCTTTATGAAGATTTCATTTTTATTCAAGATTTCAAATCCAAGATGCTGAACTATCTCTAAGTTTTTTTTTTTTAGAACCTTGACAAAAACCGTCCACAGATAACAAAATGCTATGAGTTACAGACTTAAAAGATGTTTATTTATTTCAAAATAACTGCCGAAGAATATGACCTTGACATAATCCACGGACACCAGTAATGACACCCTGTACAGTCCCTTGTTTATCACGATCGCTGTGTACACTAACAAATGCACTAATTGATGGATAGATCAATTGACTCATCGCTACTAATAGACCAGCAGCCCACATCATCCAATATTTGGTACCCAAACCATACCTGAACAAGTTAAAAATGTTTAAAATATTACTAATATATAATTAAAGACAGGAATGTATATAAACATATGAAAATTTTCAAAAACCGATCCATGTTTTTGGAACTAACCATAATAATTGAGCAAACTGAAATGACAGGCCAAGAGTTATTGTATATTTTGTGCCAACAGTGTTAGTAAGAAGGAAAAGTATGCCGGTTTGAGCGATAACAGATAATATACCAACAAGTCCTGCAAAATAAATTGATTGACATATACTATGGTATGTTACCAATACATTCAACAAGGTTAGACCACCGGGTAGCCGATATATTAACATAAACGATTCCTGCACAAAACCACGCATTGCTGCTTAGTTTAACCCATTATCGTTAGGATCAAGATATCAGGAATACAGTATCCTTGCCAAGTAAAGCCTCCACTTGATTAGGATATAAGAATCAGCACATTCGTTTTTACTCAAAATAAGAAAATAAATAAATAAAAGAGGTAAGAATAACTGTTTCTGAATACTAACCAATGAAAACGGCAACTGCTTCCGGAGTGAAACCAACCACAAGTTTTAAATATACGAAAAAACAAGAGAACTGGCCAGCTTCAGGAAGATAACTTAAAAAAATAATAGCAGCCAAGTGAAGCACCAAACGATCCTCCCAAACAATTCGTAGTGTTGCAAAGGGATCAGCTCTTTGCCAACGAAATGCATCTACTACTCGACGATTACGGGAAGGTAATGATTCTGGCACTACCAATAATATAAATAGTACATCCAAACTTGCAATTACTGTGGCCTACAATTATTTTTAATTATAACTGGACAGTTCTCCTTTTCCTTCTCACTTTTCATTATATTAATATTAAAAAATCATATAATAATTCAAATTAAAAATTTACGACTAAATCATGAAAAAATCGAAACGATAAACATACAAGTAAAACGACGCTATCGTCACCCCACGATTCAGAAATCCATGCCCCAAGTGCTGGAGATGTAACTAAAGATGCTGCAAATGTGGCAGAAATGAGGCCATAAGCAGTTGAACGATCAGCTTTATCGGTGATATCAGCCACATATGCAAGTACAACACTGAATGTTGTTGAAAATAAGCCACTAATTGAAAACAGAGCAAAATACCACCTGAAATAACTTTTACTCCATCATTATATCATCGCCACCTTCTTTCTGCAACTTTTATATAGTGCTAAATTCACGCGACAAGAAAAAGTTGACTTTCTTTATCTTTCGAATCCTCCTGATTCTCATTTTTTATTAATAATACAAAACAATAAACAATCACGAACCATGGACTAATTTTAAGGCATGGTATTGGCATGCATGTGAAAAATACAGTAAGTAGCAAAAATGACTTGCGTCCCCATTTATCCGATACAGCACCAAGTAATGGAGCACTCAGAAATGAGAGAAGACCTTTAATGCCAAGAATCACACCATTCATTAAAAACTTATTTGTAGGAAATGTATCAGCCAAGACCTGAAAATTTTGAAAATATATAATAAATTAAGAATTTCTGTTACACTCGCAAAATACGTTAATAAAAGATTGTTAAACACAACTATCTTTGCTTATTACAGTCGTTATTATATCAAGAGCTTCCTACAAAGAATGAAAGGTTCAAGACAAGCTTGAGAAGTGCAATTTATTCATATATTTGTGATTTATATAACATCAACAAATCGTTCATATATTTTATCATTCACAAGTTATTCCATTTTTTACATTCTTTCCATAAAAGAGCTTTTAGCATTCAAATACATACTGATTTAGTTGTACTCCAAGACCATGTGAAGAAATTTGTCATATATCATCATGAATCTCTATTTTGTTTTCATAGCACAAAGATGGTCATCAAAATGAACATAAATAAATAATTAAAAACAAACATTAATGACCGGCACAGTAAGCAATCCCCAGGCGAAATACTCGAGGAAAATGACGATAACTGCATGATGAACGCTGGCTTCACAACAACCCATAGTGCTTCCATCATGTGATCGACGTAGCTTTCTGCTAAACAGTACGTCGAAAATACGAGCACCTCTTACCATTCGCCTCTACTCCACCTGAAATGTAGAAATATTAAATTTACGCAGCTCTTGCAAGTTAATGATTTCTTACCTGCAGCTAAAAAAAAATTTTCCCAGTTCGAAAACCTGTTTTCAATGTTACACAGCGTGTTTACAATGTACTATCTACTGTGTTCTACAAATAATATTCGCATCCAGTACTTAAACACAAAGTCGACCTGAAAACTGTATAGTATGAAAAAAAGCAAATATTCCGAAACCCACAGGTATTAAAAAGACTTCTGTGCTCTGATCGAAATGTTTTGCCGAAAAAGTCAAACCAGGAGACTGATAAAATTGAGATAAATTGTCGTATTCATTTTTCAAAAAGAAAAAAAATCACCTCTTGTTGAAACATACTAGGCTAAAAAAAAGTATTAAAAAAAAATAAGAAACCTTGCGAGGTAGTATATATCCTCGTCAGGTGAGCCGGCTGTTCGTTTATCACGTTTGACGTCTGAGATGATAACTGTTGTTCGGAAAGAGAGGCTTAACAGTAGTTCACTTCCTGAATCCATTCCACATATTATTGTGCCATATAAATCGTATAAATCTTCAATGCGAGATCGAAATAAATATTACCTGAATGATAGCGGCAAATCAACCCTACCTCAACCACAAATTACTGGGATAAAACGAACAATCAGGAGGGACAAATCAAACATTAAAAAAAAAAAAAAAAAAACTGTGCCACATAATTTTTTCATCAATTTCATATGCAGCAATTATTGCTACATTTAAAATTAAATCATGTATAAGAATAATTTCGAAAACATAACAATGCAGAGACATTGTTATCCTTTTAATTTCTACCTCCTTATATTACAAACACACACACACACACTCTCTCTCCCTTTCTCTTAGATTAGTGTAAACTATAAATGAGCAGAAGAAAACAGAAACAATTTTATTATGATTAAATGAAAAATAAGTATGCAGTAATTACTTGAATAAAATTAAATTAAATCTATGGGTGTCTATTTATAATAGGTAATGGTAATGATAGTAAAGTAATACGTAATACTGCTAGCTATCAATGATAATTGATTAAAATCTTTCAAAGAAATATAATCTTAGCAACATTACTACTATGCAATTTACATATTTTAACTACATTTGTATGATATTATCAAGGGAATGAATCATCCCAATAAATATTCATAAATGTTACGTAAAATGTCGAAAAAAAAGGAACGTCCACGTGTAGAGACGTGTAAATATCACGTAACTCTTACCCTAAAGAATGCTAATTTGACAACAATTTGTCATAATAACAAGAAGCCAAGTTGTCATTGACAATTCTTTTGTCGTATGATAATTGACAGTGTCCACATGAAAATTAACGTTTCATCTATGAATTAGCTAATATTTTCGCATTTATGAAATATGAAAATTCTTGCAGAATAAATTGAAATAATAATTTAGTAATATTTAAAAGGAAAATCGATTAACTTTGTTAACCTTTAACCTTTTTTATTCTTTCCATATTTCTATTTTTTTTCTAAAATTAGCCTATCACTTTTTTCATTTTTCATTAGCAAAAATTAATGCTATTTGAATATTCGAAAAAAAAGATATATCATAAATTTTAATTTGTTTTCTTAAAATGAAAAAGTTAAACTTTCAATTTTTGTCTTTCTTTCTTTCTTCACAAAATTAATACTATCAGATATGCATAGCACAAGAAATTGTGGTATTTTTCTTTTTTTTTTTAAATGACAGATTGTTTTATTTAATTCAAAATTTATTTAATAAAATCAATTTTAAAATTTACTTATTGATAACATAAAAAAATTTTATGCAAATTAATCAATATATGCTTTTCAAAATAAAACAGAAGTATGTATATAAAAAAATATATTAATAATGAATATTCTAAAATTTCAACAATAATCTTATTTATTGTTATTATTGTTTAAAGTATTTGCCTAATCTTTTAACTTTAGAATTGAGCAAGAAAAAAAAGTTATTTAAATTATTCATTTATTATTCATTCATTCATTCATCATTTTTACATTCAAACAATTATATTATTAATTCAAATTATATTTTAATTATTATTACTATAAATTAGTCCTCTTAAAGATAATTCATTATTATTCTCAAAATTTTATCAAAAAAAAAAAAATATATTACACTAATATATAGCAATCAAAAAAAAAGAAAAAAATCTTACCAACAATAAAATTATTTACCGTAAGAATGTGAGAGAAATGATTAATGGCAGTACTGTATAATAATTACAGTAGAAAATGGTACTGTATTGCAATTAAGATGAAAATAATGAAACATTAAATTAATCCATTATAATGCAATTATTACACTTTACTAATATCCATAAAATTAATATATCAAAATTCTGATAATAATAAAATATGATAATGAGTTGTTGATTACAGTAATAATACAGTAATAACATATTTCATAGATAATAATCATTAAATTATGATGATATGCTGATGAACTATAAAATTAAAATAATCACATTCATCAGGTAAAATGGAAATCTTAGATAACTGATACTGCTCATACAAAAATTTAATAAACCAAATTAACATTATTAAATTATATTGCTAAAATATATTACACTTTTCACATACTTATCATAACATTATAAATTATAGAATTTCAATTATAAAAAATAAGATTTCAAAAAATTAAGAGAAAACTTGTAGATTGCTATTTCCCGAGGAAAATGACTACAAAAATTTAAAGAAATGATTAATTTCTAATTATTCTTACCATATAAAATAAAAATTGCTATCTTTACAAATATATTTACTAATTTATCTATTTATATAAACAAGTAAAAAAAACCCGCGGTAAATATCCTCAATGTCGAGAAAATTCCAAATATGCGGGATGTGTTATGTCGAGAACAATGCAATCAGTAAATATTATTTATTTTCTTTCCTTTAATCTTTCATTTTATTAAATTATACCACAATATATCCCTTTTTACACTGGAAAATATCAATTATTTTTTTTATTATTTTTATAGTATTAATATAAGTATATGTATGATATATTATAATTAAGAAGTTGAAACTATCATAGTAATTGGATAAATGTATTCCTAGTCAAATGTTAAAAATTGATCGCAAAAATTTGTTAGCTAAAGTTTATTTAAAATTTTTGCAAGAAAAATCTTAAACGATAGGTTTATTCTAAAATATTTGGTAAAAATGCAAAGTTTACATATCATCAAGTAAAAATCGTTTGTTTTTGATTGTATATAATTTTACCAAATGATAAAACTTTAAAAATTTTTAATCGGAAAAATTCGACATATGCAATATAAAAATAGTTTTAAAAAAAAATTTGATTGCTATGAGAATAAATGCTTATATTTGTAATATTTGTTCATAATTTATCATTAAATTTTTGATTCATTTTTAGTCATATTTTTCCGTCAAGGAAATCATTATTATACATTTTTAAAAATTTTTTGTTCAATTTTTGATCAAAAATAATTTGTTGCTCAAATTTTACATTTTTTTTTTACATTAGAAAGTAGAAATTTTCAATTAGTTACTTATTACTTTTTCATATACTTATTCAATCTTTTTCAAATTAATTAATTTTTACAATTCTTTTTATAACTGATAAAAGTGTTGCTAATACCAATATTGTGCGAAATTAATTTTAAATTAAATTTGAAAGTAAGCTAAAGAAAAGATTGTGCATTTAATATGTAGTAAAATTGTATTTAATAGGTAGTGGAAAGTTAATTAATCATGTGTCATACTTTTATATCATTGGATGAATTAGAACGATGTCTAGCTTATATTCCAACATACGGTAAGTTACAGTACCCTACTTCACTCCTAATGGATTACTGTAAAATGAAAACAATGATTGAAGTATGGTAGAAATATTGTTCTCAATTGATAAAAATTCTGAATTGTTACTTCGACATGTAAAATAAGATATTATAAATTGATAACAAATGTAGCAATGACATATGGGATATGAAATTTGCATGGTGGCATTAGTGAAAGATACCTGGCGGAATGTTCGATTGATGTCTGTGATAATTTTATTTAAGATTCTTTGATTTCTTATTATTTAATAAATAGATTAGCGAAGATTGTTAGTTTCGAGTAGATTAATTAACTTTTTGATCATTAACAATTGCTTTCTTTTTTTTTGAATCACTTAAGATTGTTAATTTTTGAATTATCTGAAGATCTTTGAGTTTTTTCTTTTTTTCGTTTTTGTCTTTGTTTTTTGTTTTTGAATAAACTTAAAGGTGTTAGTTTTTGAATGAATTATGAATATTAGTTTTTAGATAAGTTTGATTAGTAATGTGGTATTTTAGGGCTACCAGGTATGACAGATTGTTTGAAAGGCGAAGAACTTGTATTTGCTGCAACCTATACATTTCAACCTATTCGGGTGATTCGAATTTCAAGTAATTTTTTTTATTGTTTGCTTTTGAATTTGAAAAATTTTCGAATAGTTTTACTTCTGTCTTATTTTTGCCTAGTAATCAAAAAGCTGTGCACATGTAAAAGTTGTCAAAGATGTATTACAAAATATGCTTCCGGAATATTTTTGTAATTATTTTTCTAGATATATTGTATTTCTGAAATGTATTGTAAAATAGGTGAAGAACTGCACACACTAACCAATGAGGAGGTTGAACCTGCAGTTGGGTCTTACGACTTTCGTGATGTACCGGATATGATCGATCGTTTCATCATTTGGCTAGTTCCTTTCATTCTTTTTTTTTTTTATACTTCAAGCACTTAGGTATTCGGACAGCTTCTTTTCTTAGATTAATGTTAGTTGCAGTTCTTGATGGAGATGATCTATATCAGGATCTATATTAGGTTTTCTTGAAGATCAGGATCGAAGAGCAATTTAGATCAGGCGTGATCAGGTATTAGAAAACAGGATCGGATAGCAGTCCAAATGAGATAATTTTATCAGATATTACAGGCGATCGAGTCGATCATCGTTGTTGTTGGAAGAACGAAGCGTTGAACGGCCTTTCGACTTTGCTTCGTTATGCTTCAACTTTAACCCTGCTAATGTTATACCTGGAACACAGTTCTCTTTCGCACACAATAAACTGATATTAATAGTACCGACTCAGAATGCTCTTTATCGATTTACTTTCGAAATTGCAATTCAAAAAAAGAACAAGGTTACATATACTGATTATAGTCAATGTTCCTGTTTTGTTTCGAAGAAAATAGACAAGTCTGAAAACTGAAAGTAAGAGTAGAAAAAAAAAGAGATGGGAGGTAGAGACTAAGGTTTTTTTTTTTCCTATTTACCTGAACTGAATTGACAAATCCAAAATTCTGTAATAGAAACGAAAATTTTAACTATGTACAGGTTCAGTCCGTCCTGAAGCTATCTGAAGATCAGGCCTTTCTATACAGTTATGATAGCTACGAACTAGCATCATCAAAAAGTGCCTGTCGTGCAAGTATCGTGCATACTACGAGTACTGGTACATCTGCCGTATATTCGCTAGGTGATGGACAAATTGTTCTTGTGCAAATGCGCCATGAACCGGGAAGTAGAGGCCAAGGTTTCTTTTAGATGTTGCACTGATTTTTGATTTACTTTATTCCACAAGTCTAAGCAGTACTTAGTTTTTCTTTCTTTGTGCAAAGTTTTTGTCGTAATATGAAAAGTTACCAGCCTGAATTACTTATGAGCAACAAATTGCAATATTTGCGTTAAAAAAGTTATTCAAGGTTATGAAAAAGTAATAAGAGGCGAAGGATTACTACAACGGGTTATGAAGGCAGCCCATCAGCTAAGCTTGGTTGTTAGCTTGGCATCATGTGTTGTTTATCATGACATTCTCTTTTATGTACTTTTCGACGACAGAAGGCTGCATGTTTATATGGTTTGTTTACTTTTTGTATACTTTCAGAAAATGTAACCTAGATACGTAATCACGATATTAAGTGGTAGCAAATACGTTAGAGTAAGTCGATCATTTGTAAATACAACAATGGTTGGATTATCCTATGGATGGGTTAGTTAAATGTACCGAAATCCAAGCTTATATCATTTTTCTTACATTGGTTGGAAGTAATCTACTTGTAGCATATGAATTCCAGAATGGCAAAAAAGAATACGATGGGAATTTATATGATATAATGGTACGTAATAGCCACGGAGGTGATGGCGAGCAAGGTATTTTGCTTTATATTTATTTTGCCTCTAAATAAAGATTTTTTTTTCCTTTGTCTTGTGAAAGTTTTCTTCTTCAAAACTTTTTTTTTAGTAACTGTGGAAATGGTAAAGACTTGCTCCAACGAGAACTGTTTTTATGTCGTCGTGCTTTTTCAAATTGATGACCATTGTGTGGTTCGTTGTTCTTTGCTGACATAAAGTTTAGTAGGTTAATATAACACTGGAATTATTATGGAGAATCGCAAGCAGATTAGTTTGATCTGTATCTGATCGTTTACTTTTGTAACCAATATTTTTAAGGCTAGATTGATGCTCTTTAATCATACTTTAACAGATCTTAAGCATTCGATTTTTGTTTCCGAAGGAAAAGTTTGTTGTGATAGGGTATAAAGTGGCCACTGAAGATAACATGTCACTTTTGTGTTAATTATAGTAATTATTTTAGTTTATGTTGGGGAAAATTGATCCATATCTGTTGCCAGAACGTAGTGGATATTTCTCGTTTATCAATATTTTCCAAACAGAAGTACGTAAATTTGCTAATATTATGTTCTTTTTCGACACGAATCATTTAGCTTGTCTCATTTTATGAATTTCACCGGATTTACAGAGCGGAGTAGTGGATTTCACTTGTGCAGTGCAGGAGGATATTCTGGATATTATTTGTTTATGTAAAGTTTCGGATGGAATTCGCTATTGTTTGCGCACTGCCTCAATTGATTGGTGAGTAAAGTTTTGTTACTGCTTTTCACGAAATCATTTCTGGAATTCTTTGTTGTTCATTTGTTTCCCTCTCATTTGATAAGTTAATTACCATCAAAAACATGCTTCTATATGTACCTGCAAATGAGTATTGAAAAATAGATAGTCATTTTCATGCCATATGAAATGTTTTAGTTTAAATGGCGTATTAACAATTCCTTGGAAAGGAGTAAATGAAATCCATGGTGGCGAACCGGAGGTGAGTGTACTACAAGCCAAACCAAAACAGTCGGTTGCTACACAAAAATCATATATCTTCGACCCGAACAGATATCCTTTTGGCATTGTGCTACGTTCTCTTCAGGTATTTTCTTCGAATCATTTCCGTTGTTTCTATCTACTATTCAATAACTCTTGTATGGTTCATCTATAGAATTTACTGATTTTGTAGCCAAAAAAATCTGTCAGTGTGCTTTGGGTACACGTAATAACATGTGCTAATAATTTCAGTTAGTTTGCAAAAAAGGAACTTTCAACTGGGAACTTTTGGCAAGACGACATGATTGGCGGATGTTAAGAGAAGCAGCAGAAAAGTACTGCGAATCATTAGAGGTACTTACTTTAGTTTTTTGTCAAATTTTTTATTCTGTAAATCCTGAATATAATTGATAATCTATGTTTATTACTGGAAATCAGTTATGACTTTATAGGAAAAGGAAAATATGAGCAGGATGTATAAAGTAGTTTATATTAGTGAAGAGAAACATATTTGACTATTACAGTTTGATCAGCATTATGTTACTCGAGAGGACCGTTCACTCTTGGCTACAAAACCGCCTAATCAAGCTGCAGAAGAGCGATTCTGGACAACGCTTACGAAGATGTGCAATGAATTAATACAAAATGAATGTCTTTCTTTAGGTCTGTGGCACTCTGTTCCTCTTGGCTTATACGGTACAGTACAGCAGGTATGGTTATTACTTTTGCATGTTTGCTAATTATATCACTACTACTATCAAAGTTCTACTTTTGAGTGTGGATTTTGGATGTTAGTTCCTGCTTGATTTACTTATTTTAGTATTTTGTTATTGCAGGGTCGTTTTACCGTATGTCGTCCGGGTGATGAGCAACTGCGCTGGTTCGAACGTTTGATTGGGAATGATGAAAAGAATGTGCAAATATGTTGGGAAATAGTTACAAAATTTGCTATAGGAGGGCTGGTATGTTATAATCTCTTTTACATTATCGTTGTGTGTGTGTTTTGTTTTTTGGTCAATTATGGTCCAAAAATTCTTATTAATATTTAGACAAAATCGCTTATATTAACTAAATGTATGAATTTTCTTTTTTCGTCATTATATTAAATGCATTATAGGTTGCCAGTGCAGTAAGTGTAGAAGAAAGTGAACAGTTCGTGAATGCATTTCCAACCGTTTCACATATTTTTGAGGATGCAATCCGGAAATTTACCGAATTAAGACCTGTCGATGATTTTGAGTTAGACAGTATGTTATTTATTAGCATCAGAATCAGCGAGGCTATTTTGTAAAGTTGAATAATGCAACTACATGTAAAACACAGCCATTTATAGGTCTCACTAATCTGCAATGGCAAATTATTACATGCATGACTCTCTTTGTTGAAAAAGATTAATAATTGTTTGTTTTTTTAGTTTTTTCTTAGCAATTTGTTAGCTAAAATGGATGTTTTGTTTTAGCAGCAGCCGAAACGCCATTTCATGGATCGTTTACAGTTGGCTTGTTAGCCACCCACTTCGAGCGTTTAATTGATGACAGATTAGCCCTTAGCCAATGTTTTATTGCTCTAATGGAATTGGTGAAAACTATCTATTCTTCTCAGGATGTAATGACTTTTCATTATATGCTTTAAACTTATTTAATTTATTTAACCAGATTTTGATCTTTTAGGATCAAGCTTATAGCTAAAGTAACAGTCATACTATATTCAGGAGACAATACCATTAGATGCCAGATGGGGGCTTACAGTTACTACTCATGAGAAGTCACTTCATGATATGAATCGACAATTTAGCATCTTATCGCAAACAATGAAACTGCGAATTTCTATGTAAGTGCTCATCTTTTTGTTATCTCTAATATAAGCTTACTTGATTTAGGTGACCCGATGAAAAAGATGGTTTAATTCAAAGTTCAACAAGAAATTTGAATAATAAAGCATAAAATAAAGCTGGTTAATTGCAGTGATAATTATAATGAAATAAGTCTAGCAGATGGTTTTTTCGCAAGTGCTGGTATTCCAACCATACTCAGTTATGCACAGGATAAGGTTATTCAGTTTTCTTTATTGCCATCGTTTCTCATACAATTTGAATAAATGTTGAAGTAGATTTGAACTGGAATATGTGAAACTATGCTATTTTAAGTGGGATGTTTGTAGCATTTTGAATTTTTTGTTATTACTTGTTATTACCAAGTTTGATTATTATTATTATTTTTTAAAGGAATTAGTAGATGAAGAAGACGATACGGAGGAGGATGAAGAAGAAAGTCTGGAAGACAAAGCTGGTATTGGTGTTGAAAAGTTACCTTATGTGTCGCCTCTGAAACAATCAACATCAGCGTACTCGCAGTTTATTAATAGAATTGTTAATGACGCTGTGGTTGTTCTTTGGCCAGAAAATACAGCTATGGTATTGGCCAGGTTTTTGGCCAATTATCATCAGTATTCTGCACTACAAGTTCGTTTTTTTTTTTTTTTTTTACTTTTTAATTTATTAAATAATTGGATATGTGAATGGGCTAACACTATCTTTTCTAGGCTTATTGTCAGTTGAATGAGCCTTATATAACAGAACTGTATGCTGCTTTTCGGTTTTTCGAAGGCTATGCACTTGCTGGTTTGGGAGATCCAGAAAAGGTATTTTTTTTTTCGCTTTTTCGCCATTTTGGTTTGAACTTTACCTCTATCCAAGAAATATTTGTTGTTTGCAGGCTTTGCAATCATTCTTGGATGCAGTGGAAGGTATTAATCGGGAAGATGAAGCGCTTAATAGGGTACTTTCTCCTGATGGTAACTTTTCAGAAGAACCATATAATGAATTGCAATATCTATTGAAGGTAACTTTAAATATCATTGTGAATGGCTCAACAAAGTAATTTAACATCTGATACTTATGTTACGTCCTGAATTCTGGATAAACAAATGGTAATCGAAATTAAGATATGTAACTGAGTGTTTCAGGTTATGTCTGTCATGGAGACACATGGTTTTCACGAACAGCTAGTTTATTTATCAAAACGTGCCTTGAAAGAAGCACTGCAATCGAAGCGCACTAAAGTTTTGGTAATCTTCTTTTTTTAGATTCTTGGAAAAAACTATGAGTCTTTTATTATTAGCATAATAATTTTATATTGTTCCAATTTTACACACAAATTCACACACGTTTTAGCCCGGATTATATACGTCTGTTTTTAAATTTGAACTTATTACGGGACGATATGAAGAATCCTTAAATACCCTTCTCTCCAATCCAGTTCCGGAAAACCGTCGGATATGTCTGAGAGAACTTTTAGCGAAATTAATAGAGCAGAGGAAAAATGCGGTGATTGTCGATTTAAATTACGGGAATATGGAACAGCAGGTCAGTATTACATATTTAAAAAATAAAAAAAAAAGAAATATTACAAGACTTTTAGCTAGAATCTTTCCTAGGAGAAGTGAAAGAAATAGAAAATGGAAAGAAAAAAATTGTTTTATTAATATTCGATAGAGAGCAACTTGTGGTTTTGATTTTTAATTGGAACAAACAATAAATTTAGGAAGCAGTAATGTGTGCCACCGAATTAAATTATTGCTTCCAAACTTAGAGCATTTGATAGTAATTTACATTATGCTTGGTCATTTCTAATTGTTTAAGGTGGTCAGTATATTGAAAGCGAACGCTCGCACTTCAGATATCAGTAAAGATGGCTATTTCTACGAACTAATCTATGCATTTCATGTCAAACGTGATCTCTTTCAGCGAGGTAAAATTATTAGTCAAAACTATGTTTAGTGATCAGATTAAAATAGTAGTTGGCATTATAAATCTTTTTTAAAAGATTAGTGCAAAACTTTATTGAATATTCTTTATATAATATTAGAAATTTTGATAGTGAATATTGTTCTCAGATTATAAAACTGACCTATAATTATAGTTGTTTATATTTTACGTTACATTTGTGATGACAAATTTTGCTGCGACTATTTTTTTTACAACAGCTTTTTGTAGCAGCACTAACAATGCTCGAATATTCGTGTCGTTTACAGTCAGAACTACAGAATCGAAATGTATTATCTCGTCGTAGTCGTGCTCTTAGTATTGTTGTCAGTTTACTTTCGTTATTGCCAGAAGCTGATCAGTTCCTTACGCTTCCAGCATCACTGGTATCTTTTGATAGTTTAGATTCGATAACATAAGGAAATCTGACTTTAGTGAAAATATTTTTTGTAAAATATTATTCTTATGAAAGTCAAATATCTTTTTTTAAATGAAAATTTTGAAATTTATTAGTAATTTGATTTAAAATATTTGTTAAGGAAAAGAGTAAGAATCCAACGGAACAAATTGAAACAGCAGATGAGCAGAAGAAGATTGAGCCGAAAATGGGCAAAAATGCTCTTGTTATCTGGATGCTAAATGATATTTCAAAAGTGAATTTTCGTACGAAATTTCTTAACGTTATACATATGAGAACAGATACTTTTTTATTTTTTGTAGATATTGGATAGAACATCATAAATTATTTTTATTGTTTCCAGAGGGCGCTGTTATCATCAGCTCGGTTGGCATTATTCGATGCAAATTACAATCCAAAAGAGAAGAAATCAATCCCACCGCCTATCAAACTTGAAGAAATTTTCGAGCAACTCATTCAGAAGAAACTCTTTGATTATGCTTGGGAAGTGAGCAAGTAAGAATTTGTTATTCTATCATTTTCTTCTCTTGTCTAACTGTAACAAATATATTTCGTTTAATTAAATAAGTCTTATTTTTCAGGGTTTTTGATTTAAAACCATATCCATTGTTAAAAGCGGTTACTGTGGAATGTATTCATTTGGATGCAAAACCACCGAAAGGTGAACCGTGGTGGGTAGCTAAAAATCGAAAATTCGTGAGGAAAATACCCAGGTTGCTTTAATTTTTTCAAATGATTTTATCTTTATGCGTTGAACTATCTTATTATTTGTTGATCTAACTGTTTGGTATATTTTTTAAAATATCTTACGCAGTTAATTTCGAAATTCACATTTTTATAGTTTACGTGAACGACATTGGGCTATTTTACGAGGATATGTGGAAGTAGCCATGAGAAGATGTCCGGAAGATTTCACGATATTGTGGACAGTAACCTATGTATTTCTTCAGCATCAGTGGCATATACCTCCATGGCTATCAAATTGTTATGAAGTATAATGTTTCAAATTCTATGTAATGGTGTAAGAAATTGCACTAGGTAAATAGTTATAAATGTTTGTTGTTCCCAATATCATGTTTAAATGGTTTGTATTATATTTCAGGATCGATGCGCAGCGCAGTATGCTTATTTGCTAATAATGTTCGATCATCTTCATCTAGCCTGTGAAACACTCAAAAAGAAGATAACTTTAGAATCAAAAAAAATAACATCTCGAAACTCACATTGCTTAATACCTGCTACAGAAATTGATTGGGTATTATGGTTAATTAGTAAAAGAGATGATGTGACTTTAAAAGAAGTAAGCTATGTCTTTTCTAAATCTCTTTACATTCTTTAATTAATTTTTTTTTAACGACAGTGCTAGTTTCATTATTACCCGATTGAGATTTAAATTTTCTATAGTTTTATTTAATAATTTTCAATAAAGTTGATGAATTTAACATTGTGTCGCATTAATTCTCAATTTAATTATTTAGAAGTTATTAGTTTAGTTTGAAGGTAATAGCAGCATAATATAGAAAGCGTTTTGTTTGAAAAGCTAGAGATGAAGTAGGTCAAAATATAGGTTTTGTCAAAAAGTGAATGTCCTGCAATAGGCAAAAGTAGTGCTTAAATGTCCTCGTAATAATTTATTTTAATTTCAGGATGCAAAACAACTAGAAGAGTGCGTAGAGCGGTATTTCGAACGTATTGCATCTTTTTCGAGGCAATAAATATTCTTTAGTGCAGCACTTATCCATGTGATCTCCATTCCAAACTACTTCGTGAAATCTTGTCTTTTTTTTCTTTATTGTTGTTATGTTGTTGTTTAAGCAATAGTATTATCTAATTCTTTGTAAGCTATATTTTGGTAACATGGAAGATTTAGAAAATGTGAGGTATAGCAGTAGCAAATCCCAGATTTTCACCTGAACAAAAATTTCTGCATCATTGTTCCCATGTGCCTTTATATGTTTTGTAAATAAATTTTACTACCATCTTCTCTCAACCTTTTATGTACCAGTGAAAAATGAAATGAAAAAATTCATTAATCGACCAATAACCTCCACCTAATTCTACATTGCAAGTATTCCAGTTAGCATGATCGACCTGCTTCTTATTTTTCCGCAAGGTTTCCTTAATTTATTCTGTTGCCGCGATATGCTTAATTCATGATATCTTTTGAAGCTGTTTTACATCTGTTCAATCATCTAATTTTGTTAGGTAACCAATACCAATCCTCATGGAAAATGATTCATCAAGTCTACTATATTGTAGAAATGTTCCGCAATTCGCGCTTTACATTACCTCATTAAAATCAAATATTTTGAAAGATATTAGGTTATATAAGCAAGTGCCATGTACTTACTACTATTACTGTCCTCCATTTTACTAGCCCTTGGTTCCTTGGTTCTCATTTGAGTATACTGAGAACAAATGTCAGGATTATAGAAGATCATGTCATTTTAGTACCCATAACAAGGAACAGCAAACAAAATAGTCTTGCAAATAACAGAACAGGCTCATAAAAGTAAGCACACAGGTAAGCTACATCACAACGCATCTAACTGAAAAGCATTGCTTTATAATACCTTAGACGTGGTGGTATGCACAAATCATAATAACCAAGGATTGTAACCAAACTGGGTACTACTGAAGTACCACAAATTGTAAACATAACAGCGCAGAAATAATTAGAAAGAAAAAAGGGACTTGATAACATTAAGAACAGATGCAAAAATGAGAACACTCGGTAAGCAACGTAACAAAATAAAAAGGAAGAAGAGTCGGAAAGTGGAAGTTGCTTTCCGATCAAAAACAAATGCCCTATTTTTTCTATTCTTCAGGTATTGTTGCTTCTTGTAGTTTCACTTTTTCTGTAGTTAAAGGTACCGTTATAGTTTCTTCCACTAAGTCTTCATTGTCTGTTTTCAATAAGTCTAAGCCACCTGCAATTTTTTTAACAATAAAGAACAGATACCCCAAGTAGATGAAGGAAAATAGAAACTGACCATATTTATTATTGTCGTTCTAATTTGTTTATATTTCCGGTAATTTGTATAGTTCAAATTCCTTTTGCACAAAATTTTGACAATAAAACACTCTATGAGTAGATAAACCGTTTTGAAGGAAAAACCTCTCAATTGTAAGCGTAGCTCTGCTTCTTCTGCCAATTTCTTCGTGCAGATATTACGGATCTGGACAAAATCAGCCATAATTTTTTTGCGTTTTTCGCTCACTTCCTGAATATAAGCATATAATATTCGAACTAGTACAAAAAAATGAATAAAAGTTGCAAACAAAGACCATGAAGTGAAAAAAAGGAAAATAAATAAATAAAAACCTTCGTTGCCCTTCCACGCTCCATTTTATCTTCTTCCTCGAATTTGGCTGATGTAGTCTTCAAATTTTTCCTAATCATCTGCAAAGTAATCATTTTCACTCATAATTTTACAGCACCAATATAATAAATAGAACTTCGTATTAATACCAATAAATAAGTTCGGTTAATAACTTATAGTCTCCAATAACGACACAAACGAATCTTAAACCAGTAACATGCATCCCAAACATTTTGAATGCATTGAATGTTACACATTTTTACCAAACTAAAATAGTATAATGAATATGTCATTTCCCACTAAAAAGAAAATAAAAAGCCACCTTAATAGTTTCATCAGGTAATTTAACCGATAGACGTGGTCTCCATTTGAACTGCATCAGCCGATCTAGCGGTTTCCTGTACAGTTCTCTTCCTTGGAAAGTGTAGATACGATAACCTGTATCACCTTTTCCACCACCAATTGTACAAGCTGCTGTAAAATACCGTCCCGTAGGATCCCAACTTCCCTAAAATAAAGGAATAACATTGTGAATGACTGCAGTCCTTTCTTTCTCACTCCTTTCACATCCTCGATATCCAGACAGAAAAGCTCAGTTTTTCATATATCACTAGATTAACCTTATTGAAGCCTGGATATTCAACTAAATTGGTACGAGTTGGTCGCGTTCCGTTGCTATCAATAAACATTATGTTGCCCGATGCGGTACCAGCGGAAAAAACAACAAGCCAACCACCAGCTGGTGCCCAAAGAACATCACTGAACCGTTCCATTGGTTCGAATTTCGATATCAGCTGGGGCGCATGCTTGGTTGTGTCCAAATAATATATAAGAGGAGTTGATTTATGCTGTGATCCGACAAGCACACAAAATTTGTCACCTGAAATAAAGATTACTCAGGACTAATACTAAACAGTCCGCTATATTCATCAAGGATGGTTAGCAGTAGATGCACTTTGATCTACATTTTAAAATACAATCTCAACGCGGCAAACCACAGGATTTCCATTTAATATATATGCAGCCATATAAACTGCTTTGTTAAATAATTACATTACTTCGAATTCGCAATAGAATCCGATTAAAAAACAAGAAAACAGAACAAGAAAAAAAAATGTTTAACCAGATGGTTCCCAGTCAAATGCTATGAACGATTCCGAAAGAGGCATCGAAAGCACGGAGATATCTTTCCCTCTTGCATCGAAAATTTCTATATGTGAAGTCGGATTCTATAAATAACATCAGATTATAATAAGTAATTCATTTAAATTATTCTTAACCTATATAAGCTGCTTCATTTAAACAAGCACTACTACATTTCTAAGAGGGATTTCAAGATCTTAAAGCCCCATCAAATTTTGTCATTCTTCTTTCATATTAAAGTTGTTTCTTCACAATTCATAATTCCGAATGGCTATATTTAAAAGCAACATATTCGACTTCAAATACTCAAAACTAAGTGTTGAGAAAAAAGATGTTATAATCATAGAAACTTACTGTATACTTAATTTCTTCTACAGCTCCACTTGCAGATGTCTTGATATTTTTCTTTTGGTAACGTTCCGTATGTGCGGCTAATCGATCACCGTTCTTATTCCAAAACAGTTCTGCCTCCGATACAGAAAATATCCGTTGAGCACGAAGTTTCGTTTTTGATGGAATTTCCATTAAACCAATTTCCGCTGGTGCATTATCTGATGTCTTAACATCACTATTATAGAAAAAATCCCACCATTGTGAAGCAAAAACGGCAAGTAAATTAACAGTAAATTATTTTATCCACCTAATGGATGAAAATAAATACTTACACGTTCGTCACAATAATATGCAAGAATGGGGCGTGTTGGTGACCAACGGAAAGTTCGTAAACCCTCAATTACTACATGCTTTTTGTCTAATAAGGTAAAATTCCTCGTTTCATAGACATTGATTCCATTACCACCAGGTTTCGGACAGGCCACAAATCCATTCGCTTCTGGACAAGCCAAATATGTTTCATCCGGTCCCAAAGCTCGAGTATCTGCTGACCATCTGAAAAATCAAATATAATTTTCCTTATATTATAGGTTGACATTCATTGTTCTCTTTAACAGTTACAAATAACCAGTTATAGTTTGATCAAAAGTAATGATACCGTACAAGATACAAAAATATTTAAAAAATATTTCAATAACATTAAAATATACTGGAAATATGGCCAGCAGGGTAATTCATTGGATCCTTCTTGGGTAAGCAACGAAAAACCACGTCGCATTTCGCCAGTCATAGTGTCAAATATACGTAAAGAGTTAGTATCATCAGCCCATCGATTCTCCGGTAATGAATATGTAACAAGAAATCTATAAAGAAATGTTCATTTCTTGCTTTTATAACCTAAATCAAAGATTCAATTATGCCTCCTATACTATAGCTGCAAAAACTCAGATCAAGACCTCCATGATATTCTCACCGACAGAATTTGTAAGAATCAATATTAAAAAAGAGAAATTTCCTTGGCAACCATTACTGGATAATGTGCCTAGATTTATGGTTGCTTAAATATTCGAAAAACACCTTCAATACATACCTTTCACATGGCGAAAAGTCGAGCATTATAACATTTTCATGTGAATAACGAGCAAAACGCTCGAAGTTAGCTCCTGCCCATAATGCAATACCCATACGATGAACACTTACAAAGAAAGTACCATTGGGAGACCACCTAAATACTGTTTCAGTCCAATACTGAAACGAAATTTATTTTAATAGTATCAAATAATATCTATTCACTAATTACTCAGCAATAAAGAATACTTATAAGTGAAAACTAATCTAATGAACAAACAAAATCTAATCTTCATTCTTTAGCAAAGTATAATAAAGAAAGCCCAATTATGTAAAATATACATGTCGTTCCGTGACAGGCACAGGATCTTGTCCTTTTCGGTACTCATAAACTCCGACAAACGGCGATGTCGAGCCATACTTAGAGCCTTGTGCGTCACGCTCATAATGGACAGCAAATTGATCGTAGCATTTCTCATTTTGTAACCAAGACCATAAGTCACCCTAGAAACTCATTCCATTTATACAACTAAAAATTTAAATATGAAACTATACATTCATGTACAAGTTAAAATGGAAAAAATACAAAAACGATACAATGTTGTTATATGGTCGAGGTTCTAATGGCTTCCAATTTTCATCTGGTTTTTCGAATTTATTCAAATCATTAAAAAGATTAGCCGAAAATGTGTGATTTTTATCGAGGAGATAACCATGCAATATTGCTGTAGCATTCTCGGCTATCTCGCTCCCAGGATATTCCACAAAGCAGTAGCCCTGAAATGCACTATAAAATTTTAAGGTGTTCAAAAGCTTTCTAAGTAATTTTGATCGGATTATGAACACCA